TTTTTGACATCTCAACTTCCAAAAGTGGTCCGGAGCTGAGGTGTTTTGTACATTTTGACTTGGAAATGTGCTTCGCGCCACAACGGCGTGCACTTTTTCGACATCTCAACTTCCAAAAGTGGTCCGAACCCCTGGGGTTTTGTACATTTTGACTTGGAAATGTGCTTCGCGCCACAACGGCGTGCAATTTTGCATCGCTCCTGTGGCCAGCTGGCTCCGCACCCGCCGCTTTAGCGAGCCTACTTTTCGACCCTCCGGCGCCACAAATCATTGGAAAAACACAGTGTTTCGCGACTTTCCTACCTTTTCGCGCATCTGTAGCGTCTGTCCTATTACTCTTTCTCTTCTGATCTTCTCGCTTCTAATCTTCCTCTTCTCTGTGCCTCTGCCCTGCTCTGCTTTTCATCTCTCCATATTGTCGGAAGTTTGACTTCTAAACTTCCTTCGACAATACATTACATTACATTACATTACATACCATACATACCATACAGACCATACATACCATACACACCATACATACCATACATACCATACATACATTACATACATACATTCCATACATACGTTACATACATACATTACATACATACATTACATACATACATTACATACATACATTACATTACATACATATATTACATACATACATTACATACATACATTACATACATTACATTACATTACTTTACATTACATTCCATTGCATTAACATTAACATTAACATTAACATTACTTTAAATTACATACATACATTACATTACATTACAATACATTACATTACATTACATTACATTACTTTACTTTACATTACATGCCATTACATTAACATTAACATTACATTACATACGCTACATACATATACATATATATATATATCAAATATCTACAGTATCCATTCGTGTTGGTGAAATCAATGGAGAAGTGTTATTAAAAACCTTCTGCCATTGCATTCCTGCTTGGGTATTTGATAGGATCATCATGGTTTACAATGGAAAATCCCATCTATAAATGGATGAGAACTGGGGGTACTCATCATGGATCATGGCCAAAATATAACTGGGCTGGACTCTCGACGAGTCCTGCCTCCACTCATCGCTTCACGACTCCACTCGCTGCGCCGAAGCGATCGGAAGCGACCTGGCTCCAAACACCCACTTCGCTGTGAAGCAGTCAAAATGAGGTGCTTAATGCCAATTGACAAGGTCTTGAAAATGAACTTCAATGAATTGTCCAGGGTGAAAAATGAATGTGTCTTCCAATCCTTTCTGATCTGTTTATATAGATCAATTAAGGCACTGGTTATATCTACAAGACACTTGATTTAGCTAGCGATCCTTCAACAGTCACTCCACCACCACCCCAGGTGCTGAACTTCAGGAAATCTGCTTGTCATTGCTCTTGAATCTTGACCATGCATCAGTAGTAAATCCCAAACTTGATGAAGGCTAGGGCCATTTTCGATTATTACCCCCGCCGCAGACATCCTGGAAAACCGCGTACACTGGATGCAGCTCTGCTATGGATGGGATGGAAGCAGAGTGGAAACACAAACTATTGACTATTTGCACTAAGTCTATCTAAGTCTGCTTACTTAGAATATCCAACATGTTTCCCCTGATATCATTGATGACCATCCTGGCTTTTGAAGCTTTTTCTCCGGCTTCGCATTTGCGCAGCTCCTGTGAGACGTCGGGCAGTAGCTTCCCAATAGTAGTGGATCGGCAGGGTCACCTCGGTCACCTCGGTCAGCAACGGCAGATGATGCTCGGAGAATCAATGGAAAAAAAGATCACATCTGGGTATACTAAGTGTTACTACCAAGTTACTACCAACAAAAATGTGGACATTGGTAGTAAGCTGCTATTATTTGAATATCGTCAGCTGAATGTTGGTGATAGTCCAATTATGGACGCCTCCTACGGTGTCCTTCAAATCTGAGGACTGGATCTAGTTTGAGTTCACACCATAGAGACTCTAATAATAACAAAAAAAAACACTTCGTTAAAATGATCCACAAATGGAGTGGTGCGAACGGACGTTCCACATCTTCGTTCCAAGACACCTTTTTGAGCATTGTTCAGCTTATCTTCGTGGCGTTCCTCCAGCTGTACCGATCAGCGTTATGAATCGCGAATCGCGACCCGTGGGACTTCCAGAGATCATCCAGAGATCAGCGGAAGAGGAGCAGGAGCAAGGCGAGTGTTGGGAGCGCATGCGAAGACCTGAGGCACGACCGAGGAAAGTCGGACTGTTTTAAGCAGAGCTGATCCATAGAATTAGAGCATCAAAATTCCTCCAGGAAGCCAAATTCAATGAATAACCGTTTTTGTGGTGTTAATATGATATTGAATGATTTTGACATTAAAATTCTAGGATCTGATTCTGATACAAGTTGAATTCGGGGTTATGAATTCGATATGGTTTGGAATATGAGTTTGATATATGTTTTCTGACATGGTTTTGGCTGTAATATTGATGTGTTTTTGATATGGCATAGAACTTAAGGAAGAATGATTGAAATCCCCAACCGGGCCCCAACCAAATTTGGTAGTTACAGTTTAACACGACAAGTCATCGTAGTCTCGGTTCGTGAATGGTAGTGGAAAAGCAAGGCGGTTGTTTTCGGGCACAGGCTGACGCTGCCTTCTTTTTTTGTGGCTCTACTTACCTCCCGACAACCAGTAACTAAGCCCTAGGCCCCAATTTGCAAAGGCCCAGGTCCCGGTCTGAAGATCTTGAAAATCTGCCGTCTAGATGCATATATATTATATATATATATATACACATATTATATTCATATTTATATATACAGTGTGTATATTTTTTATATTTTTATATGATATTATCTATATTATATAATATTATATATATATATATATATATGGAAGAATCAACAGGCAAGAATCAACAGGCACTTCCAAAGGGTGGTTGATCCTGGTTGATCAGGGTATCAAAGTTGATCAAGACTCAAAAGATTGTATGTTTCTTGAAGCTGCTTCGCTCTCAGTATGTTCCTTCAACCCCGCAGCCAAATGGACCAAGATACCCTCCGCCCACCTCAAGGTACAGGGTGGCTGCCAGGAATCCAGTTGCTACAGATCAACATGCTAGGTTCAGCAGCAAACACCCTGCTCATGGTCGCATCCATTGGGATTCAGAACATTTCAGAAGCCTTTCTAGCAGCATTGGGCATTGTGCCCTCTAGATTCAATCTGAAAGCCCGGCTCCTGGTCCCAAAGATCAAAGCAAACGATTTTACGAAGTGAATTTGAAGATACCACTTGCCACCAAATTGGGCAACCACTAGGAAGTGGCGTTGCGAGGTGAGTGTTCCACGTGTTCCTGCTGAGTGGAGAATTGTGCCTGAGTTCGGCATCTGGGGCGCCGGCGGCGATTGGTCTCTCAGCTGATGCCTTGTGCCAGGTGGGACATCTTGGAAACACCCTTGAATTCCGTATCCCACTGCAACCCCAATTGCGCGAAGCCACAAGATTTGAGATGGTAGCCTGGTAGTTGTTGTTGTTGATCTATCATGGAAAGCAAAAACATACCACTATTGAGGCACTCAACACCTGGGAACTCACGATGCGGTACGGACAGCAGGGGCAGTAAGCCACTTGCGGAATCCTTTGCAATCTTCTGGGCAACAACAAGCTAAAGAAGCAAGGACCATCGTCTGCAAGGCATGCCCTACTAGCTGGATTGAAAATGTCCCACGATTTTTTCCTGAATACGAGCGTATCCAGCATCTAATTGTGGACGGGGCAAGGTTTTTGTTTTGAGGACCCAACGGTGGAGGTGGTAGTGGAAGTGGAAGTGATGCTTGCAGCTGCGGTGATGGTCGCAGTGATGGTGCTTGTTGCGGTCGATGTCACAGGATCCTGAAGAAAGAGAGCCAGATTGCTCAAATAAATTCAGGAATGCCTGCCTGAGAACCCTGACTAGAAAATGTAAGTCCACAGTATTCCACAGTCGTTTTTATGGGTTGTCCAGTGATACTGGAGAAAGAAACCATGGGTAGTGATGAGTGATGCTGGGATGAGCAAGGGCCTTGTGACAAGACTGACGCACTGTACTGGGATGATACTGGAAATTGGTAAAAAGAATCAATGGTCAATAACCAATCGGTGGGTGGGCCGCCCCAAAATATGCTGGCACTTCGGGCTGATCATGCCGCAGAGGGATGGGAGGGTTCAATAGATGCCTTGGAGGAAAAGAATCCTATCCAGCAAGTTTGGGAATACGTGGCCTACCGCTCTCCCTTTGAAAGCGACTGTGGGGTTCCCCAACATCAACGGCCACGGACCAACATCAATGATCCAAGTCAAGGCACAACTGGAGAGGTGGTGGTGAAAGTTGCACTAGTGTTGGTAGCAGCATTGGTAGCTGTGAGCGTAGCAATGATGGCAGCGCTGGTAGCTGTGCTGGTAGCTGTGCTGGTAGCTGTGCCGTTAGCTGTACTGGTAGCTGCGCTGGTAGCTGTGGTTGTAGCTGTGCTGGTAGCGGTGATTGTAGCTGTGATGGTGCTTGTAGTGGTCGATGTCACAGGGTCCTCTGTGTGGTAACATGGGTGGGGGTCACAAGTGAACTATATGATTCTGGTCAGAAAACAGTAAACCGGTAGCGATTCTTGCACTGTGGTGCATTCCGCAAACAAATGTTTGGTATCCCAAGTTTGACCACATTCCCAGTAGAAACAAAGGAAGCATTTGTCACCTCTAAGCACCGCATCTCTGGACGGTTTGTGTCCTAAAAAAACAGGGACACCACCTCAGTGGCTACCGATCAAAAGTTCAAGGCCATAGGAAGGACAGTTTTGGACATTTCTTTTGCAATCAACTATCCAATGTTTGCCTCCCCAATTTCGAGCGCTACACTAATAGAAGCCATATGAATTGTTGTTGATGCTGGATGGACCCACATGATGTGTTGCACTCCAGCCCAGCGGCGGGCAGGAGCACGAAAGAACGCGGAATTGCCACTGGACCTTGCGGGCCAACCAACACACCCACGGCAACCGCGAGGGCAATTAATAACCCATCTGAGAATATGATCTGCAATAGAAAAAACATGGAAAAAACCTTATCTGAATCCATCCATAGATGATGTTCGCATCACCATCAAACTGGTGATTTTTCGTGATGTTTCTGGGGCGATCGGTGATCGGTGCCTTGATTTCCCCTTTTTTTAGAATTCTCCGAGGTCAACGATCAGCTGGTTGCAGCCAGGTTGCTGTTGTCTGACTGCCAATTCTCGCTGTTTTGGAGTCGTGACAGGAGCTCCTACCGGATCCAGATGGAGCATCGTTTTGCACGAGAGAAACTGCTGGAAAAAACATGAAAAAACGTCGTCCTGAGCTGTCCCAGTAGTGTTGCCCACATAAGCTGCATTTTCCTTGGAGCGGCGCAGAAACACCACATGAACGATATGCAATCTATCGCCCAAAGATTCGTAATCGATGGCCCACAAACTTCAAAACTGTGCAGGAGCATACCAGTCATCACAAATTTCAGAATGCATCCGAACGATACTTATTGACTGCAGCCCTGCCGGAAAATCGGATCCAACCTGGAGATACGCCAGGCATCTGCCTGGGTCAGGGCCAAAGCAGACTCCAAGCCTGGTGGGATTGCGCTGGTACTGGAGGAATCTGCGGTGGATTGCCAACCTGAGTTCAGGCTCGGTGGTTGACTTTTACCTGATGAAAGTTTGCTGGCTTTAAGTCTTACCATGGGCAAGAATCCTAGAAGATACCCAGCTTTGGGGTGGTCCTGTAAGACAACTTTTTTTGGTGCGTAAGTAGCACTTGAAGAGGAGACCTCTGAGGATTCCTCAACTGCGAGTCTGGAAATCTGCTTTCCAAATTGACGCCTCGATGTTTCAATCAAAATGTATAACACACACACAGATATTTGTGTATATATATATATATACATAGCCTTACATAGCGTATTTACGTGTTAGTATATTCCTCATATTTACGGCCCAAAAAGAAACAACTCACCTGTGGAAACTGGGTGAAAATGTCAGCATCGCCCTGAGCTCTTCAGGCAACTGCTGCCAAAGTTGAGGCCACACAAAAAGCTGGGACTCGCCTGTGGCTGATGCAGTTGGGTGTGTTCAAACAAAAAAAGGCAGCCCCAAATCCAATGATTGATCATCATGTCCCAAAGCTGCCACAAATTGGGGAGTAGACCCGAAATTTTGGGACAACCATCCATCTTTCATGGAAACAAAACATGCTTTCCTCTAGGTTTTCCCTGAAATCATACCACTGAAACACCAGCCTCAGAGCCCGAGAAGACTAAGACTTGATCTCCGCTGGTGGACAAGGAGAAGGTACCTGCAATGATGGCTAGCAAATACAAGTGGGGTTGCATACATTTATTCACATGTGTATGTGTTTATAGATACAAATAGTGTGTATATATTATATCATATATATATATACATATATATATATATATGTATACACATTTATATATATATATATCACATTGAATCTAAACCTGTTTGAATTCGGAATCTACCCGTGTATATATATATATATATGTACGTATAATACATGTGTAACTGCCCATACTTGGGAGGTCTCATATGTGTACCTATCTATGTATATATACACATACATAGGAACATCATCTGTGAATGGTATAATTGAGGTTGTAGCGACTCATCGAGGTAAGAGATAGAGTATCGATAGAGTCCCAACCGCTTTTAGTAAATTACGCAATAGTATTCAATAGTACTTGGTTCATCTTGGTTCTAGTTACATCATATTCCTCCCCATTATTAAAAATCCTATCAGAATCCCCTCTCTATGACGTCAGGGATCCTAGCCCTCCCGGCCACCTCAAGGGTCCCAACGGTCCCAACCTGAAGAACTGGTGAAGTTGTCTTTGAACAACACCTCCCCTGCCGGCACCTGGCAGAGGGGGAGAAGGACCTGGCCAGAATATCAATGACACAAGAACTCGTTATGTATTTATATGTATGTAGTATTTATAATATATATATATATTACAGTAATCTTAGCTTCCGATTATTAAAACCCCCTCAATAATCTAAAATTTTCGGGCCGAGCATCATTTTTCTGTTGTATTCATTTTCAATTGCGCCCCTTTACTTTTAGTATCTGGCATTGAAACGATATGTAAGGGAAAAAACTAAGATCCATAATTAGGAAGTTATGTACATGGTAGCTTCGGAGCTTCCAGTAGCTGGATTTTAGCTTAAAGCCCCCTTCATTAGATTTAAGCTAAAATCCAGCTACTGGAAGCTCCAAAGCTACCATGTACATAACTACAGTTGGTGACCCCTGAACAGAAGCAATTGCCCTTTTCAGGGCAGAACCTGGTGCCCAAGTGGCAATCGGAGGCTCAGGTGGGACTTCTAAAGGGTTTCAGACCAGTTTCAGACCCCCATTTGGCACAGATTCACAACAATGCTTTTTGACATCCGGGCAAAAGGCAACGGCAACCCTATATATTGTTTTAG